GTTACAATTACTCACCACTATGACTTATGTGACCAACTACTTAGTGCCTGTGTGGCTCACAACTCATGCAACTCTCATCTCCACCTTGACCTACGAACTTTATTGCAGCTCCCAACTCCGGTCTTTAATTCTTACGGACGTTATTGCAGCTCGCAATCGTGACCTACATGGCCAAATACGACATATGCAGCTTATGACTCATGCAGCTCCCAACTCCTCCTCTGCAGCCTATGGACATTACTACAACTCATCATTATGTTCGATGTGACTAACTATGACCTATGCAGCTCACAGCTCATGCACCACTCAACTTCTGCCTCTATGGCTTATAGACATTATTTCAGCTCTTAACTTCATCATTTGTGGCATATGGACGTTATTACAACTCACCATCACAGTTTATGTGAGCAAATACGATGAACTTAAATCATAGCTTATGCAGCTTCCAACTCCAATCTATGCCGCCTACAAACGTTACTACAACTCTCTACATCCTATGTGAAATACTACAACCTACATTACTCAAGCTTACATAGGTCCAAATTCCGACGACTATGGCCAACATTTTTTATCACAGTTCTCAACTAAAACCTATCTGCTAACTATGACTTACGTGGCTCACACTTCATACAGCTCCCAACTCCATCCTCTGCTTCTTACGAACACTATCGCAACTCCCCATTATTGTCGTTGCGGTCATTCGACACTACTGAAGCTACCGCCTACTGGCTTCACGACCTGTTACAACAATTATTGTTGAACTAAATGTTGTACATCAACATTATATTTTCGTATTGTCTAATTTAATAGAAGAGTAGACCTATGCACTCATAATTATATAGTGGATTTCTTTGACTTGGCCAGATCTCGTGATTTTTTCCCTTTTCAGGATTTTTCATATGGTCTCTCCTCAAAGCCACGTCACCTATTAAATTAAATTTACTTTCTAATTTATTAGAGAAAAATTCAGATTAGGACAATTAAAATGATGACAAGTTTCGAAAATGATTCATATAATGTTAATTAGAATGATGGCAAAGTCTGAAGAAATAATTAGAAATTATCAGCATTACTTAAAAATCATCAAAATCAGGGAGGTTTACATAAAGAACGAGGAAATAAAAGGTGGACATGAGCGTATGTGGCGATTGACTAAATTGACTCCAAAGATAAGAGAATTGATTCAAATAATAATTATAATAAAGTGATAAAAGAATGGGCAATTTGTGGTTAAATAGCAAAATAAAAAAACAATTTCATATATGAAAACAAAATTTAATTTTTTAAATATTTTGATTAGTTTTTAATTTAAAATTTAAAATTTTATTTTATTTTTAGGATATT